TATTAAATAGAAATTATTGATGGAGTAATTTATATTAATATACTGTATTATATTAATATAATATACTAATATATTATATTATTAATGTACATTAGTCGACATCCTGTCGACATAATAGGAAAAACTGTCTTTTTTTTGTTATTTGGACCTATTTGATCGACATAAAAGGAAATGTCGACTGAAATAATGTAATTTTTATATTACCATCCATTTTCATGTCAGTGAGCCTCGACATCAACATATGTCGGGCAACATTAGCGAAATGTCGCAACATTTGAAACCATGCTACTATCCATGTCCTTTTTGGTCTACCCCTTGCCCTTCTGGACCTTTAAACTTGTAACAAATCACTTCTTACAGGTGCTATTGATGGTCTTCTATGCACATGACCAAACCATCTTCATCTAATTTCTCTCATAAATGATTTTAATTTCTGATCCTATCGCTACTTTTTCCTCTCATCCATCTCGACATACGCATTTCTGCCACACTCATTTTCTGGAGGGAATTTCACAAAAGTTTTACTGCCAACTGCCAACCAGATGCAACCCTCCTTTATCTGGGCTTGGGACCAGTGATGTAAGACAAGCTCACACTCATTCCAAAAATACCTTTAAATTATGCATGCACAATGAAAATCATACACCCTACCAATTCATAAAACAGACCGATAAGATAAGCAATAGGGTAGTGTCATTATCAAATTTGAGATCCAATCTATTGTGTAATATAAATTGAAAGGAGACCCATCAACATCATCAAGTTTGCTTAACGGCTCACCTATTAGACAGACAAGCATTTATGAGTTTGATACACCAGTTGATATTACGAAAAATAAATCAATATAATGTGCACTTGTACAGAAATGGATCTTAAGTCTCCGTAAAATTAATAAGTGTATCTCACAAGTTATACTATCTATAAGCAGTTCCATAAAAAAATATTTGTTTTTTTCACGGGAGGAGTGAAGATGGGGAGAGACCACCATGTATACCTTGTAATTTACAGGTATCCCATTGGAAAGGCGGCGCTGTGTGATGCCTATTTCCTCATCAAACGCAATTGTAGTGTCTCCATCTTGATTTAACTGAATAAAGGATGGCTTCCGTTGCAACCTTAATTCTTGCAGCTGTGATGATGATATCAACTCTTTTGGAACCTCTAGCTGTATTAACAAGCAAATGAATGAACTTAGCAATAGAACTTACTTTCTTCCAAATGGAAAATGCCAATGACCCTAATGGTAAATAGCCTAAATAAGCTCATTAGAAAGAAAATAGGGCAAATTTTTTAAACATCCTTACATGAAGCATCTAATTCAACTTCAAGACCAGAATAGGAAATTAGAAATACAGGATGCCAATCTGTTATCACTTATCAGATAACCAGCATACACTAATGAGACAAAAAGAAAGTTTTTAAAGATGGATTTAGACCAGCAACTTTATATGGAACAGAATGTTGGCGGTCAAGAAAAAATACAACCAGAAATAGGCATAGCTAAGATGATTGTGCTGGGGTGGATGAGTGGAAACATTAAGAAGAATAGAAACAGAGGATTTATAAATAGCTCCAATAGTTGACAAGGGAAAGTTGACTAAGATGGTTCCTCCATGTACATTGACAACCAATAACTACACAATTGAGGAGATCTAAAAGAGAAAAGACAAGGTCAAAGAGGACATGAATTTTAAGATGGTTTCTCCATGTACATTGCCAAGCAATAACGACACAATTGAGGAGATCTAAAACAGCAAAGAGAAGGCCAAAGAAGACATGGATATAAGTCATATGAATTGATCTAATGACTTACCAGTTATAATCTGGCAAAAGACATGACTTTTAATAGAGAAAAATGGAAGAATAGGATTCACATAGCTGACCATAAACATTTGAAATTAAGGCTTTGTTGACTTCAGTAGGTAATCATTCAGTAATTCCCGAAAGAGCATACCTCTGGTTCAGCCTCTATGGGTTCCTCCAAACCAGATTTTATAGCAGCTGTAATTTCACTTTGAGAAATCTTGAACTCGGTTTCGCCTACTCCATCTATATGCACTTTCTTAGGAACACATGCAACAATTGCTGCTGGAAGTGGTGCAGTAGGCTTCCCAAAGTCCGAGATAAACTCTAGCATAGTTGCACCAACAGAATTTACCTAAACACAAAAACCACTTTGAGATTGAAGACAATGAAAATTGCAAAATAATTTCATCAAGAAAACTGCAACTCCAAGATCAAAATGCAGAATACAAGTCACACAGTTACCTGGAAATAGACTTAATTGTGATTCTAAATAGAACCAAATACCAAAGTCCAGTTGTGTTCTACATTTACCTGAATTGCCTTGGCAATCATGTATATTAGCCAAAGCATTGATTGCTTGGTTGTTACTAATTCAGTACAGAAAGTCTTTCTGAACTTTTATGGGTTCTATTCAAAAATTTTGTTAGCCAAGTTTTGGTACAAAAATTTTGAGGAAATCTTCATAGAAACATAATTCACTCAGTGAAATGAATGAGTTTTTTTTATTTTGGGTAAGGGCCATTCAGGGTAAATTTCCTCAATTACATCATTACAGGAAGCAAGGAAGACCCTTTGATTTTAACGTGAGAAAATAGATAAATAAAACAAATATTTGTACAATTCCAATGAGAATTCTGATTTCACCCTTTTATAAAATATTTCCAACATCATAGAGTTCTAGTTATTAGAATTTAGAATTCTGGTTTCATGCCTTTGTAGCATCCCCTGAACCTTTGAGAGAGAAGAAATCTTAAAATAAATTTCACAAAATGAATATATTTTGATGGCAGCCATAGAAATCAGTCCATTATCTAATGGGCTTTATGTCTTCCAACATTTTCAGTGAACCTGCAGTCAGCCAAGTCAAATAACTAGGTTTTTCATGGTTTTCACTCAGTTTCCTGTCTTTCCCTTTTTATTTTTTTGATAAATAGTTTCCTGTCTTTCCCTTATACTTTCACTTTTGTTTTCTTCTTTCTTGCTGTCACAATATAACAGAAAATAATCTGCTCTATAAAAATGAATGAAAGAGGCACACAAGGAAGAAACTTTTCTAGTACTATTTTCTTCTCCCTACCTAGAATTCTTCTTGGACGAGTAAGGAAATAAATTTTTCTTCTTGCATTTTTCAGAAAATATCCGGATCTATGTGGGCATTTCTCTTTCTTTTCCTCCTTTCTTCCTTTCTCCATGCCTTAGACTCTCCTTTCACTCTCTGATCAATAACTGAAACTTTTGTTAATTTGTGAAAGTTAAGCATCACCATTTTCTAATAGCATTTTCATTCATCCTCCCTAGGGATGAGCCCCAAATACATTTGTATTCTGTTGGCCCTTTTCTTGGCAAGTGCATCTGCCAAAGAATTGCATGATCTTTGAATCTGCTGAATGTTGATTTTTCTTACCTCTACCAATAAAACTACAGTCCCACACAATCTTTTCTCTCTTCTTCTCTAGAACTGATCTTACTTTAAAAGACTTTTTTTTTTTGGTGGTGGGGGGTAAGTAACCACCCTGCAAGGATAAATCAACCCATTAACATTCTTTTAGATCAGCGCTCTAAATGTGTTGACCAACTTATTTTATTCAAAAGACATGTACCAAGTGGGCTTTAAAATAGGCCCAAGTGACTGATCTTTAATTAAGAGGTCTGAATCACCTTGATTCTTAGTTCATCCAAGCCATTCAGTGACCCCCAAAGTTCAAAGTATTTAAGACGCATGATCCACAAGTTTTGCTTATGGTGTGTTTTCCAGCTTCAATACTCAGTGTTTATCTTATTTGTTTTTCTTGATAATTTCACCAAAGGTATGATATGACTGTTACTTTTGTTTAAAAGAATTAAAGTCATCAAACAATATATGTTTTGAGTATCGGTGGGTTCAAAAATCAATCTGTATTGTACAATACTCACCAATACGTTGCGATATTTTAAACCTTGGTGCCCCATCTGTGAAACTCATGTGATTACCACATAAGTTAGATTTAAAATTTCTAATTTAGAACCAAGCTACCATAAGTATAACATGCAAAATCTCAGCATCATCAAAAGTGTCAATGTGCAAATCTTACTTCTTCAAGTGTAACTGTTTCAGCAACAGCAACCAAACTTTCATGTCCTTGTCTTTGATCCATAACTGTATGGCCTAGAGCATCACTCTCCATGATAAAATCTAAATTATCCACAGATGGTACATTATCAATCATCGTGGCTAATTGTTCACTATCTTTCAATAGTGCATCCATGTAGCGAGCCAATTCACCTCTTGTAACTCCAAACTCTTTAAGCCTTCGAACCTGCACCAAAGAAGCATAGATACTGGAATCTGAACAAATGAGGATGACAAGAATTGTTAAAAGGAATTGGGAGTCATTTCAAACAAAATTTTGAGTACGGTCTTGTTTTCTTTCTTTGTTTGGTTACAGGTGGACTCCCCCACCAAATGTGCAAAGCTTGCTTGATTCTTCAATCTTTACTTGGTCAAAGAAAAGGGAAAGGGTATTGTGGAGATGTACAAGAGCTACTATTTACTGGACTATTTGAGAGGAGGGAAATTCAAGGTTATTTTCAGACAAGGAGAGAAGTACAGAAGCAGTTTTTGAAGCAATTAACATAAGAGTGGTCCATTGGATAAAAACTCTAGACTTATGTAATGATATTCCTATGGATGTTTTGTTTAGAAATTGGAAGGAAGTGGTAAAATTTCCACTAAATACAAAACAATACAACTAAGATCATATTCCTAATCCTAAAATAGAATGAACTGTGACTAAAATCACAAAACCAATTTCTGTATATATAAGGACCAAAATTTTATGTTGGGGGCATTGCCCCAAACCCCAGCATAGACTTGTTTAGGCAGGAGGCTTTAGTTTGGCAGAGGATCGATCTCCTAGGATTAGGAACACAAAATATTTAACATCACACTAGTTACTTTTAAGTAATGAAACTAGGAGATAAACAAACAGATTGAAAGTTTCATATGCTTGAATTTTTAAGTGCTTAAATATGTCACTCTTTTTTTCAACTTTAAAAAAAAAAAAAAAACTGTACCTTGCGTTGCAAATTATAGGGAGGCAATGAAGCAAGCTCAGTCTTTCATCCCCCAACAGATGAAGGAACATCAGGAAAGCGAGCTGAGTGGGGTCAAGCCTGACTCTGCTGCAAACAGGTTGCCACAAAGTAGTGATATTATTGAAGGAGATTCAGGTGGTGTAGCTCCCCAGAAATTAGTGGAGAGAGAGGTTACGTTTGGGAAAAGTCTGGGTCCGTGTTTCTTAGGGGGTGAGGGGTTTGCAAGGAGGGCTTTCAAGGAATTCGAAAAAAGAAAAAAGGAAGAGAAATTGAAGAGAAAAATTCATCCGGAAGGAAACAAGGGATAGAATGAGGATGTCTCAGATGAGGAGGATATTCTCACGGATGAAGATTGAAGGGGGGCGATTCAGGAAGGGGTTTTTGATGTGGGTCAGTTGTCAGTTTGGTGATCCTTGTTTCTTTGGGGATGTTCAGGGTAATTTGCTCAGTTTTGGTTGGGGGTTTTCTTGTTTGTAAGCTGTGGGTTCTTTGGCTTATTTTGGGTGTATGAGGGTGTTATTGCTCTTTGGTGATATCTTATCACCTCTGTTGTATTTCATCTCCTTTTTATTTTAATAAACTTTTTTCTTTATTTTTCAAAAAAAAAAAGTTGCATTCCTCACCTAGAGGCTTGGGCCTCAAGCACAAAAGGCCCTTCTACCCTAGTTGCTTCATGCTTCTGTATTTACCCTGATACCCTAGAATCCAGACTATGATTCATTGAAGTATAAACAATTTGGCAAAATTCAGTTTCCAATTTTAGTGATGGAATAAGCAATGAAAATGATGCTGAGAATGCTAGGCTCATAAGTGCTTCATATATGTTTCTACAAAGGAATTTGTGCAAGTGATGGTAGATACCATCCCTTAACAATGGGATACCATAGGGAGGCCTAGATATATATTTTTCAACTTACTTTTGCTTGGTTTTGTATATAGAGGGAAGGAAGCTTCTAAAACAAAAATTATATTTTATCTAAGAGAAGGACTAGATATTAAAGCAACTTAAAGAGATTGCCCCTATGAAGACTTTGTTGGCTCATCCAACCACCCAGTATTAGTGTAGAAAGCAAAGAGTACGGACCTCTTGAACAGCAACTTTAATTGCACTCTGCCAGTTTTTAGGCTCTGCAGTAACTGTAAGTGTAGTGACAGTGCACCCTTCTCTTCCAGAATCACTGTGATCCAATTCAATTGATGTGAAAGGAGGATTTGAGCTCTGCAGAATCAATTACACAAATTAATACAAAACAATTACAAATTTTTCCTGTATGGAACTGCTAGGTATCCAAGTAAAGCATATGAATAAGAGATATGCAACAGGTGCCCAGTGTATGTGCATACTTGGGATGAACCCAGTACCCTTCTTTTTCAGGCATGTAGAGAGGTAGGTTGCCCATCAATCAGTCTCTCTGAGAGACATTCCCCTGGATTCACCACATGTACTGTAACCATTGTCAATGTCATGCATGTACTACTGCCAGTAGATAATACCTTGCCCAAGAGTTATCCATGCTGTGTCTATGAGGATATCCGATTTTAGAAGACAACCTACAATAGATTGAGTTCTTTGGTTTTCAAAAGCTACAAAAGGAATCCAATTTGGATACTGTAGGAGCTATGGAAAATGAGCAATAAAGGCATTCACGATGTGAAATATAGGAAGCAGGGAGTGATTGACACTGAGACTGTGAGGCAGTGCCAGCAAGATGATGATGATGATGATATTTGACAGTTCCAATAGTCCTTGATCTCTGTGTGACCACATTGGAGGGGCTAGATATTTGATGTCGTTTGAGATTGGTGTATGGTTTTGGTTCTAGGTCAAGTAATATGAGTTGTCTATTTTTTGGGTCGATTATTCTAGGTTGTTGAAGGAGATTGTCAAGCTGTGTATCTGCTGGCTGCTATCAAAAGTTGAAGGATCTTGGTGTTTAAGACATCAAATCAGAGAAGCTTTGGCATTATCTAACAATCCGAGTTGTTCATTCAACTAGATCTAGGTGGGCAAACAGCTTAGCAGATACCTAGCTAGATTTGGGGTCAACAAGAATGGAATTGGAGAGAGGAATACCAAGCCCAAGGGAAAAATCTAAAATATAACTGTAGCTTGAGCCTTTGATGTTTTGTCAGCCTATTGTTGTAGAGGTCCTGAGTTACCCATCTATCTAACTAATTGACAAATAAGTGTCCATGTATTCTCCTTATGTTCTACAATAGAATAAATTGATAATGATAAAAAAATCTAGGTTTTTTGCCCTTTGTGTTATGACTGGGCATGATTCACAATCTTGATACCATGGGCATTTTGCATGTATAAATGGGGAAATTTCAGGGACATATTGTTAAGAGACTTAAATAGGCATCTCTCTCTATCTCCCTTTTAGGCTTATAGTCATCTTCTCTTCTATATAATTGACATTTTGACTTCTATCATTTCGGTTAGATTGAAAATCCTCTTTATAAACCTAGTAAATGAATTGCATTTACAATAGTTAGACAATAAAATCACAGAATCACCATTTTTTTTTATCAAAAATGCTTCTATTTGTGTTGTTTCCCCTAATATTAACTCTCTGGAGTTTGTGTTATGTGTGTGTATGAGAGTGATATGTTTTATTTTCCAATATAGTGGAATTATGGTTCTCTCCTGTGGATACTGAAGTTAAACCACATTAAATTGTCTGATCCCTATTTTTCTCGTTACTGTTTTCTTCTCTGCAAATTGGCATGGTATCAAATCCATGGTTCAGACATTATCTAATCTGGAAGAGTGTTAACAATGCTTTAGGAAGAATATTTTGAGTAACAGGCCTATGATTCTCAGAGTTATGAGAGGTTGAAACTCTAGTATTTAATTCATTAGCTTCAAAGTTTTCTTATGCTTCTTTGGGTTTTATTGCACCCTTAAGGCTGTGCAACTTTGTGATTTGTGCTAGGTTTTTAGCGCTAGCACTGTAACGATTAGTTGAAGAGTTGTCTGGTTTCCTGAAACTTTTCAGCTTCATATCTAGAGTCAACCATTCATCCAAAGATATCTAATGTTCTTAGTTGGATCCTAAAACTAATATATCATCCAAAAGAGCCAAAAGAACCAGGAAAGGTCTGATTTGAATTTAGATATTAGAACATACTACATGAGGGGCTCATGGCTGGGTAGATGTGATACATTTTGATGATGTATTTGAAATTTTTTCATTGAAATTTATCCAGTCTTCTGATATCTTCTGCCGGTGATTATTCCAGTAATCTGTCATCCTTGGGTGTCTTTGACAGTTGTAACAAAATTATCTTCTAATAAAAAGTTACTGTTTCCAATAAAAAACATATGTTACATATTATAAAAGTGTTAGTTCTATAATATATACTCCAGTAAGTCTCATGCAATATCTAGGCTTTGTAGAATGAAAACAATTTGGATAATTAATGATGAAGGATAGAGATAAAGATACAAGTAGACAGCTTCCAGCCCACCAAAAATGAGCAGGAGGTTAGCAAGAAAGAAGAAAACTTACTTTTAGAGCAAATACAAAAGAGATAGGTTGCTTAGTAGAACAATATTCATCAAATAAAATCTCCTTGTTTCAATAACAATGACTCTATATATAAACTCAACATACAGGTTTAAGATCTCTATTTACAAACTTCACACTCAACCAGGAACTAACTCAAAGCAACTTCTAATTACTTCAAAAGTAAGTCAAACTCATGGGTAACTCATACAGGCACTCAAATTAGGACTCTTGACTCCTAAAATAACTTTAATAACCCATTATAAATCTACTTCAATAATAAAACCAAGAACAATTCCAAGACAAGGGCTATAATCCAATGGTGGTCCCAGATATCTAGGGTCTTGGAAGAGGAGGACTGGATATGGACCTAATCTTTGGAATTTCTTGAACAAAGTGGCCTTTCTAAGACTTGAATATGTGACCATATACTTGTCGACAAGAGATTTTATTCCCCTAAAATTATAGTACAACTCAAATCCCATCAATAGACTAACACCCTATCAGCAAATCAGTCATAATTCTCTCAAAACACATCAGATTTATAATGCTCTCATTGGATAGATAGTTCAATAACCTATATGATTACACCAACATCATGTAAATTAAAACACTTGAAAAATAGAGTGAAGTAAAATTGACATGATTGCAACTTTTCAAAATTCAAAAAAAACTCTCTAAAAACCTTATTAGGATACTAAAAAATTACAACTCAAAATGACAACATTCAAATAATCCAAAAACTACACAAAGTTTCCATTGGTGTAGGAAGTTGAAGAAACTTGATTTTTTTTTTGATGAATTTGAAGAAACTTGATTTTCCTTCCATTGTTTCTTTCCTTTTTTCCACATCTGCATCAATAAAACTTCTCAAGAATCTCAGTGCCTGAACAGGCCATGCATTTTATCTTTTCTATCTCAAACAGACAAATCACCGGAGCTCATAATGTGTAGTATGGCTCCCCAGATAGAGCAAATAAAGGAGGAGAACAAAAAAGGAAAGCAAGGAGAATCCTATTTCCTAAGGCTGACAGTTTTTCCAAAGGGGGCAATCCAATCTATACACAAGGACCAAGAGTTGCAAACAAATAAAAGAATAGTTTATTAGCTCATCCATTAATTTTAAAAGTGAGAAAGAAAATAACTACATATTGAGAGAGGTAGTAAACTTAATACCCAAGCAATCTAATAAAACAACAACAAAGAGAAAAACAAAAAATAAAAACAAGATATCCCCACAGTATCTTCTTGCAATATTCCCCTTCCAAACATTTCTAACTTGGACATGCAAGAGTGGCTACACACATGGTCTCATTTGTCAGTTTAAACTAAGAAAAGCAATAAACTTTAGGTAGCAGGATTTTCACAAAAGTGAGGATTGTCCTACCCATTAAGAATGGGCTTGCAAATTTGTACTGAACAGTCTGAACTTATGACCCATTCGTAATAGTTTTCTGCATCATTGAAAAACTTGACCCCAAGTTAAAGTGTGCGATAGGAGAGGTATGTCAAGGCTTTTAATGGTTACCAATCACTCTGAGGAAATGGCAAAGATCACTTACACCAGATACATTCATTAGTTATTGGAGGAGATATTTAGGAGTTCAGTGGACTCCCTTATTAGGGAGTGTCATACAGTGGAAAAATCCCCTCTGACTAGAATGTTTCAAGATGGATCCCTTCCCTAAGGATATTGCCAAGCTAAATTTCAATGGGTGCTCAGTGCTCTATTGGTAATCCTAGGCAATGTGGAATTGGAATGAAAATGTGATTCAACAAAAGCAGACTTCTATAATGCTTCAAGGGATCAAACTATGTTTCTCCATAGGTCTTAAGCCTCTGATCATTGAGAGTGATTCAAGGTTTTAATTAGCTCAATACCTGGTAAAGTCCCATGCTCTGGAAGGCTTATCCATCCATTAGAGAGGTGTAGTCAGCAGTGGGGGAAGCTCAACCCTCATACCATTGATCTCCAAGATCAGTTAACTATGCAGCTGATTTACTAGTGATGGAAGGTGCTTGGAGATAGATTTTGTATTGGGGCTATTCCATTCTGAATTTCTGATTTAGCTCTTTCCTTTGTTTTCATTCTTGTAGGGATTTTACCCTTGTGGTGTATTTTCAATTTTGTGGGTAGGTCTCCTCTCTTTACAGATACCTTTTCTATGTAATGCAGCTAATGCTGCTATTTCAATCATTAATAACTTTTAGTTATTGATTAAAAACAAGGCAAAAGGAGACCTTGCTTCTTTTGGTGAGGGAAGTTTTGACTTCTTATGCCTTAGTAGAAAATATGGGCTTGGGTAATGCAGAATGGATGAACAACATTCACATAGTCAATCCCAAAAATAACATGTTGTGGTTATGCATAAAGTTGTCATTGATAATCCAAAGTTGAGCTATGGCCAAAAAGAGAACAGGTAAGTGTCAGTGGTAAAGAGGGAAAAAGGGAAAGTTTCAAATCACAAACATAATTATAAATTGTACCTTGTATCTTGTGTTGATCCGAAAATGCAAAGCTGACAAAAATATTCTCTTCATCAGAACATTGCGCAAGTCACCATATGTTCTAACCTTGTTCACAGGAATCTGCAACAAACTCACAATGGAGAAAAATTATTAAAAGAAAACCCTAAAATCCAGTAGTTTGAACTAGCAATTCCCAATCAAAAGAAATGAACTAAAGAACAAATATTATTTATATAGGGTAGGTCATTTCACTTCAACTATTACAAGTTAATAGATATGAATAACCAAAATCAATGATATCCAGATACATTTGCTTGCCTAAAGTACTATTGCTGGACATGCTACATGCCAGATATGGCACAGGATACCACATTGACACTTCTAGGTATGCTTTATAACATTAGTACTATAAAATATGTAGCATGGCCATCATCATCATCATCATTTTTTAAGATAAATAAAGAAGAAAATTTTATTACTGTGAATAAAAAGATACAACTAACACAGGTGACAAGGAGTCATCCAACAAAAATGCCAACAAGCAGAAACTGTTGAAATCCACTAGTTCTCCTAGCAGTTTTTTATATTTCTGTTCTTTAGTGCCGCAGGGGCAATCTTATAATTTCACACCTCTTTTATTTTAAGTTGGGTCACCCTAATATAAAAAGTAAAGAGAGCTGGAGCCACCAGCTCCTAGTTTTGAATCTAAACATTCTTCTCTCTTCTCTCTTCCTCTTCTTCCTCCTTCCTCTCTTCCTCTCCTTCTCTGATATCTCAGTCCTGAAAACATGGTATCAGAGCTGGCCTTCTGAGATCAGAAAAAGTGCGATAAGGTTTCTTTTTTTTGGACTCTTCTTGCTGTGGATTGAATCTGATCAAGAAGCAGATCGGACTGATCTGAAGGGGGTTCTGTTTATCTTCTCTTCTTCCTTGGCCCTGTGCCAAGAAACCCTTAAAAGGAAGGAAGAATCTGATGCTGCGAAGATAAATCTATCTTCTGAGGATCGAGTGATCCTCTCTTGTACCCAGGTAAGTGCTTTTTTGGAGGTCTAGATGACCTGAAACTGCTAAGTTCCCTTGAACTTTGGATCATGTGATCCTGTTTTTTCTACCTAGTCAACTGGGCAGTGTAGGTCTAAATGACCTGTAACTATAAGACAGTGGTCGGCTACCTTGACTGAACTGTAACAGTGGCTGTGACTGAACTGTAGAATTGGGGACTTAACTGTAACTGTGGCTGAACTGAATTAGGGTTTGAACTTTAACTGAACTGTGACTGAACTGAATTATAGTTTGAACTTCGACTGAACTGGGGACTGAACTGACTGAACTGACTGAACTGAAATTGAACAGTGGCTGAACGGTAACCTTCTATGAACAGACCTGATCTGGAAACCTAAATCTTATAATAAGTCTTCTGAAGATTCTATTGTCTAGTGGGTCCCAAAGTCAAGGTGAAGTGAGTGGGGGATTTGACATGAGTTTTCCCATGGCTGTGATACCATTTAATGGTCTTAACTACCAAGAATGGTCAAGGGGAATCAAACTATACATAACAGCCAGGGGAAAGGTAGGCAACATTAATGGTAAAACTAAAGAACCAAAGTCTCAGGGGGCAGAACATGATAAGTGGGATTAGGAAAACAGCATGGTGATGTCATGGCTGTTACTATCTATGTTGCCTCCAGCCAGGAAGACTTCCATGTGGGTTGAAACAGCTGTTGAGATTTGGGAGCAGGCAAAATCTACCTATTCAGAGCAACGCCACTATGCCAAAATATACCAATTGCAAGCTGCCTCATCTACTTGTAAGCAGGAGGAGAGGACCCTCTCAGCCTACCATTCAGATTTGACCTCAATCTCTAAGGAACTAGATCACTATCAGAACATTGATTGGAAGTGTGATGCTGATGCTAAAGCCTACAAGGCTCTGGTTTCCCAACAACGGGTCTTTGCCTTCCTTTAGGGGCTGAACCCCATATATGAGTCCCTCAAAGTTCAGATATTAGGAAGTAAAGATCTTCCTCCAGTGCAAGAAGTGTATGCTCTAGTACAGTCTAAAGAGAGTAGGCGCATTGTGATGAATAGCTCTAAAGAGGAGCAGATTGCCTTAGTGGCTAAAGGGAGTATAGGTGCAGGAAGCAATAATTCCTTTAAGAAGGGCGACTCCCAAAAGAGAGTGGATGATAAGGATAAGTTGTGGTGTACTCATTGCCAGAAGGCCAGACATACTCGAGATACTTGCTGGGACCTCCATGGAAAGCCAAAGTGGGCCCAAGAGCTGAGTAAGAAATCAGATCAGAATAAGAAGCCAGGACAGCAAAGTCAAAAACGGTTTAATATAGCAAACTTGGCTTCTCAGGAGCCTCTACCATTTACTGCTATTCACCAGAACTGCCCATCCGTTGCCAATCCCCGAGAAGATATCATTAATTCTTTCTGTAACCGCTTGAATATGTATGGGAGAGCAATCTGTCAGATGGATTCTGCTCCTCCTGCCTCGACTTCTTTTGCATCTACTTCAAGTAATGGTAATCTTGCCACAACCTTCCATGTGTCTTCCCGTTCACCTGACTCCCCTTGGATAATTGACTCTGGAGCCTCAAACCATATGACGGGTAAGTCAAATTGTTTTCAGTCGTATCAACTTTTATCCGGTAGGGACAAAGTGAGATTAGTTGATGGTTCTTTTTCCACCATAGCTAGTCAAGGAACCATAACCCTTCCTTTTGGACTTACCCTTTCTAATGCATTACATGTCCCGGAATTACCTACAAACTTGTTTTCTGTCAGTAGCATTACAAATTCTTTAAATTGTTTAGTGACCTTTTTCCTTTCTTCTTGTGTTGTACAAGATTTGGACTCGGGGAAGATGATTGGTAGAGGTTGTATGGTGGATGGCCTCTACATGCTGGAGAACAAAGCTAGTCTTACGGCCATTGAGTTTTGAGTCGCTAAAAATCTTACTTCCGGATTTATTTAAATCAGTGTCGGCGTCTAAGTTCAAATGTCAAACTTTTCAATTGAGCAAACATTGTAGAAATCATTTTTCTTCAAGAAATAATAAATCTGATTTTCCTTTCCATATTGTTTATTCTGATGTTTGGGGCCCTGTTACTTTACCATTTGAGCTTGGCTATAAATATTTCATTACTTTTATTGATGACTATTCTCGATATGCATGGGTGCACCCCATGCGGTCCAGGGATGAAGTACCAAAAATTGTAAAAGACTTCCAACACATGATATTCACCCAATTTCAGACAGAGATCCAAATTTTCCAGTCTGACAATGCCAAAGAATACTTCCACAGTGATCTCACGGAGTTCTTTGCTTCGTGTTGATCTATCCACTGTAGCTCTTGTGCCAAAACTCCTCAACAAAATGGTGTTGCAGAAAGAAAAAACCACCATCTACTTGAAGTGGCTAGTGGGTTATCCGTTTTTGGTTGGATGTTGTATTATGTGCTACCTATCTCATCAACTGTATGCCATCTCGGGTGTTAGAGTACAAGGCCCCACATCAGCTGCTATTCCCTAAAGCCCCCCTTTTCTCTATTCCCATTCAGGTGTTTGGTTGTCGTTGCTTTGTCCAAAATTTGTGTCCTACCCATGGTAAGCATGACCCTCGTGCTCTCCCTTGTATCTTCTTGGGCTATCCGTCTTCTCAAAAGGGTTATCGTTGTTTCGATCCTATTTCTCGAAAATACTATGTTTCTATGGATGTGTCTTTCTTTAAGAGTGATCCTTTCTATCTGGTTTCTCCTCAGAGGGAGAATAGGGTAGAGGAGAAACAACTTCAAGTGCTACCTCCTCTACCCGACCCTCCTTCGTTCCGTGTCTTCCTCCATCGCAGCAAGGGCCAGTCGGGTTCAAAAGTTGTGGATCAACTTGAAACTGTACCGCCAACATCATCAGATTCATCGAGGACAGATCCCATCCCACCAGGTACCATTATTCCTGTTGACATTTCTGATCCTATTGCCATTGATTCTTCTTCTGCCAATGACCTTGACATCCCTATTGCACAAAGGAAGGGAGTTAGGTCTTGTACCACCAAACATCCTATCTCCCACTTTATCTCATATGAGAACATCTCATACTCTTTTCGAGCTTTTCTCTCTTCCATTAACAGTGTTCCTATCCCCAAAAATGTGGCAGAAGCTCTTTTAGTACCTGAATGGACAGATGCAATGAAAGAAGAAATGGATGCATTACATAAAAATGGTACATGGGAATTAGTGGATCTTCCTATGGGAAAGAAACCGGTAGGGTGCAAGTAGGTTTTTGTAGTAAAGCATAGGGCTGATGGTATGGTAGAAAGGTATAAAGCTCAGTTGGTGGCGAAAGAGTTTACTCAGGTGTATGGAGTAGACTATGCAAAGACATTTGCTCCGGTTGCTAAGATGTTCCATCAGAGTTCTTTTTTCTCTTGCTGCTAATCTTGATTGGGATCTCCACCAGTTAGATATTAAAAATGCCTTCCTGAATGGTGATCTTTAACAGGAGGTGTACATGGTGCAATCTCCTGGTTTTTATGCTCAAGACCAAGAAAAAAAGGTGTGTAGGTTAAAGAAGTCCTTGTACGGACTAAAACAATCACTAAGAGCTTGGTTCAACAAGTTTCATCTAGTCGTTCAGCAGATTGGTTATAAACAGTGTCAGACTGATCATACATTATTTGTGAAAAAAGGAGAGGGAAAAATTGCAGCCTTGATAGTGTATGTTGACGACATAATGATCACAGGCGACTAGAAGGTGAAAATTTAGAGACTAAAGGAGTTCCTATCCAGTCAGTTTGAGGTGAAAGATCTAGGTCCCTTGAAGTATTTTCTTGGAATTGAAGTGGCCCGTTCAAAAAGGGGGATCTTCATTTCTCAAAGAAAATACATCCTAGATTTATTATAGGATATAGGAAAACTTGGAGTCAAGAATGCTGACTCCCCCTTTCATCCAAACCACAGATTGGATGATTGTCAGGGTGAGACTATCAAAGGATGTGAAATAATTCCAGAGACTTGTAGGCAGACTATTATATTTGTCTATGACACGGCTGGACATTGCTTATGTTGTGGGTGTTCTTAGCCAATTTATGCATGCTCCTAAGACTACACACTTAGA